GTGACTCTGACGGGGTACTGCTCCCTGCAGTGCACGGTGACTCTGACGGGGTACTGCTCCCTGCAGTGCACAGTGACTCTGATGGGGTACTGCTCTCTGCAGTGCACAGTGACTCTGACAGGGTACTGCTCCCTGCAGTGCACAGTGACTCTGACGGGGTACTGCTCCCTGCAGTGCACAGTGACATCTGACGGGGTACTGCTCCCTGCAGTGCACAGTGACTCTGACAGGGTACTGCTCCCTGCAGTGCACAGTGACTCTGATGGGGTACTGGTCCCTGCAGCGCACAGTGACATCTGACAGGCATCACACCATTGATAGATTTAAATGTTTTTTTTTTTTTTCATTCTTCTCCCTAATCTGCCTTCTGAGCTTGGTCAAACTCAATTTTAGAATACTTTCTTAAATACATCAATGCCTCAGTCCACAGCTCCATTGTTTTTTACATAAAATTTCTATCTTGAAACTTTCCTTAGTACATACGCATACTACATTTCTTTTTAATTAAACACAGATTTTTTTTCATACAATATAATCTAATATGGTTTTCCCTCCCTGTATTCTTCCCGGTTCCTCACTGCCTCCCCTCCCATCCACATCTACACATTTTCTGTCTCTCATCATCAAACAAACTTCCATCTATGGGATAATAATAAAATAATAATAGTAATAGAGGAATGATGGGAAGAAACCCCAGGCCCAAAGGCACAGAAAGTATTTTCAACAAAATCATAGAATAAAATTCCCCCAACCTAAAGAAGGAAGTGCCTATCAAAGTACAAGAAGCTTACAGAACACCAAATAGACTGGACCAGGAAAGAAATTCCCACATGGCACATAACAATCAAAACACTAAATGCATAGAACAAAAAAAAAAGAAGAAGAATATTGAAGATGCAAGGGGAAAAGGCCAAACCACATATAAAGGCAGACTTATTAGAATAACACAACTTCTCAATGAAGATTCTAAAAGTCTGAAGTATCTGGACAGATGATCTGCAGACTCCGAGACACCATGGATGTCAGACCTGACTACTATACCCAGCAAAACTTTAAATCACAATAGATAGAGAAAATAAAACATTCCATGATAAAAAACAAATTTAATCAGTAACTATCTACAAATCCAGCCTTACTGAAAGCACTAGAAGGAAAACTTCCACCTGAGGAGCCTAACCACATTCAAACCAATTCATAAGGAATAAATAATATCAGACCAGCCAATTAAAAGGAGCAAAGGAGCAGGGATAGTTAGGGGGACCCAATACCATAACAACAACCATAACTGGAAGCAACAAAGACTGCTAATTAATAACTGTAAACATGAATAGTCTCAATTCCCCAATCAAAAGACACAGCCTGACAGAATGGATGTGAAAACAGGATCCATCCATCAGTTGCATCTAGGAAATCCATCTTAATGTCAAGTATAGGCAACACCTCAGAGTAAAGGATGGAAAAAGATTCTCCAAGAAAGTAGACCTAAAAAGCAAGCCAGTGTGGGTGGCCATTGTAATGTCTGACAAAACAGACTTCATGCCAAAATTAGTCCAAAGAGATAGGAAGGGAAAGATTCTACATACTTATCAAAGGGAAAAATCCACCAGAGGATATTGAAATTTATATTATCTTTTACCACATACAGGGGCACCCAAGTCCATAAAAGAAACACTACTATAGCTTCAATCATATATTGGCCCAGACCAAAAAAAAACTAAACAGAGAAACACTGGAGCCAACTGACATGATAAACCAAATGGGCCTAACAGATACTTACAGAACACTTCACCCAAACACACAAGAATCTACCTTCTTCTCGGCAGGGCATGGAACTTTCTCCAAAATTGACCCTATACTTGGACACCAAGCAAGTCTCAACAGATACAAAAAAAAAAAAAAAAATTGAAACAACTCCTTGCATCCTATCTGACCATCACAGATCAAGGCTGGATATCAATAATAGAAACAAAGCTTACAAACTCATGGAAACGGAACAGCTCACTACTGAATGAAAAAATGGGTCAAAACAGAAATTATGAAAGAAATGAAAAACTTTTTAGAACTGAATGAAAATGAATATACAACATGCCAAAACTTACGGGACACGATGAAGATTGTTCTAAGAAGCACTAGGCGCCTACATTAAAAAAAAAAAAAAAAAAAAAAAAGGAGAGCTCTCATACTAGTAACTTAACAACACATCTGAAAGCTCCAAGAGAAAAAGAAGTAATTGTACCCAAGAGGAATAGCTGTCAAAACATAATCAAACTCTGGGCTGCAATCAATAGAAACAACCACCAAAAAAATTATGAAGAATCAATGAAACAAAGACTTGGTTCTTTGAGAAAAATCAATAAGATTGACACTCTTAGCCAAATTAACTAAAAGGCACAGAGAGAAGATCCAAATTAACAACATTAGAGATAAAAAGGGGGACATAACAACAGACACTAAGAAAATCTAGAGGATCACAAGGACATGCTTTCAAAACGTATACTCCACCAAATGGACAAATCTAGAAGAAATGGGTAATTTTCTCAATATATCCCACCTACCAATGTTAAATCAACATCAGATAAGCAATTTAAACAGACCTATAGCCCCAAATGAAACAGATGCAATAATTAAAATGCTCCTAAAAAAATGCCCATGGCCACATGTTTATTTCACAGAATTCTACCAGATTTCAGAGAATTAATGCCAGTACTCCTCAAATTATTTCACAAAATAGAATCAGAAGAATGTTTGTCCAATTCTTTTAATGAGGCCACAGTTACCATGATAACATATATATATATATATATATATATATATATATATATATAATTTGATTCAACAAATGAGAATTACAATTTCCTTTATGAATATAGATGCAAAATTTCTCAATAAAATACTCACAAACCAAATCCAAGAACACGTCAAAAAGATCATCCACCATGATCAAGTAGGCTTCATGCCAGAGATGCAGGGATGGTTCAACATATATAAATTGATAAATATAATTCACCATATAAACAGACTGGAAAAAAACCCACATGATCATCTCACTAGATGGAGAAAGGGCCTTTGACAAAATCCAACCCCCTTTCATGATAAAAGTCCTGGAGAGATTACGAATACAAGGGACATACCTCAACACAATAAAGACAATTTACAGCAAGCTCATAGCCAGCAGAAACTTAAATGGAAAGAAACTCAGAGCATTCCCACTAAATTCAGAAACAAGACAAGGCTGTCCACTCTTCCCATGCCTATTCAATATTGCACTTTAATTCTTTGCTAGAGCAATAACACACTACCTTTCTTAAGGTTTGGGTTTTATTGCCATGCTTTTTCTCTCATAAGTATTGGCTTGGCATCTCATGGTTGTATTTGCTCCTCACAAAGATTCACAGGTAACCAAACAGTGTGAGTGAGGGAGAGGAGATAGGAGGAGAGGAAGGAGGAGGAATGGGTGGAGGGGGAGGGAGAGGGGGAGGAGGAGGTAACTACAGCTTGCTGGTTTTAATTCTTACCCTTATATCTAAATAAGTAAATTGTTACATATTGAATTACGGCTCTGCCCCATAAGAAGTGTACACTGAAGTTAGCTGGGGCTGGGCAACTATAACACAATAAAACAATTTAAAACACCACCAAGTACAGTAGTTCAAAAGCCTATAGTATCAACACCTGGGAGGTGAAGGCAGGAGAATCGCAAGTCTGAGGAATACAAGGTGAGCCCCAGGCCAGCATAGGCTGTAGTGTGAGACCTTGGCTCAACATAGAAACCCCTCAAAAGTTTTAAAGTAAAGGGGAGATGGGCTTGTAGCTGTGTGGTAGAATAGTATACTGATCTGAAGATTAATCATTATGATAATCATATAGTTTTGTCCCCCACTTTATTAATGTAACACATATTTATTGAATTGTGTACCTCTACCCTAACATCCCATGAAATAAGCCCAGTTGATCATGGTGATTATCCTTTTTATGCACTGTTAAATTCCATTTGTAGGTGTTTTGTTGAGAATTTCTATATTTATGTACATTACAGGGTATTGCCCTGTAATTTTTTTCCCCTACAGTTTGTCCTGATTAGGGTATGTTGTTAATGTTGACCTCGTGACCAGAGTTTGCAAATATTGTTCCTTTTCTTTAACTATTTGGAAGGATTCTACAGATATCAATATTGGAGTTGGAGGAGAGATGGCTCAGAGGCAAGTGCTTGGCGGGCAAGCATGAGGACCCGGGTTCTATCACAGCACCCAGGTGAGGAGCCAGATGTCTACAATCCAAGTCCTAGGGAGGCAGAGGCAGGAAAATCGCTGGTGCTCCCTGGCCAGGCAGCCTGACCAAATCTGTGAGCTCCTGGTTCAGTAAGAGACCTTGTCTTATAAAAAAAACAAGGTACATAGACATTAAGGAAGACATTCAAAAGCAACCCTGGTCCCCTGACACTTGTACAGGTAGGTATGCATGTACACAAAGAAATACTGATATTAACTCTTCATTAAATGTCTGAGAGACCTCTTTAGAGAAGTCATTAAGCAGCGTCTTTGATGGAAGTTTATTATTTCATTTATCTTTTAAACATTCCCCTTCAAGAGTCTAGGGGCATATATCTAGCAGCTACATAAACAGCTGAACACAGCTGCCTGTGCCTCTAATCCCAGCATTGTAGATTGAGAAAGGCAGGCCCCAAGAGCTCACCTGTCAGCCAGCCTATCCAGCCCCTGGTGAGCTTCTGATATAGTTTGAGACTCCTCTTAAAGCAACAGCACAGGGAGTAATAGAAGACGACACTTACCATCCTGCTCTGGCTTCTGTAAGCAAGTCTAACACACACACACACACACACACACACACACACACACACACACACACACACACACCATTTAGAGGTTGAGGGGTTAGCTCAGTAATATGCTTGCCTTGTAAGCATAAGTAAGTACCTGACATTGATCCCCCAGAACACATGTTAAAAAAAAAAAAAACAGCAGCAAAACAAAAACAAACAAACAAAACCCAGCCAGGTATGATGGCACGTTCCTGTAATCACAGCACTGGAAAGGCAGAGAGATGGAGATCCTAGGCCCTTGCTTAGCAGGCCAGTCTAGTTAACTTGGTAAGCTCCATAGAGTGGCTAAGGTACACGGCCAACTTTGACTGTGACCTCTGGCCTCCATGTGAAAAACACATGAACATGCAAACACACAAAACATTTTAAATTTTCTTTTAAGACAGATATAGTAGTGATGACATCTTTCTGTTTGGTGTGGGAGGGTATCTTTCCCTGTTTCTGAAGCACAGGGTATAATCACAAAGTCTTCTGGCTAATTTTTTGTTCAGCACTTATGTACATCACCTCATTCTTTTCCTGAACTGCAACACTTTCCTGAGAAATTATTGGTTCCTTGTATCTGAGGAGTCTTATTTTTTCTGATTTTGCAATTCTATCTTTTTCAATTCATCTTTTCACATATTTTACAGTGATGTAATCTCTCTCTCTCTCTCTCTCTCTCTCTCTCTCTCTCTCTCTCTCTCTCCTCTCTCTCTCCTCTCTCTCTCTCTCTCTCTGTGTGTGTGTGTGTGTGTGTGTGTGTGTGTGTGTGTGTGTGTGTGTATCTGTCTGTCTGTCTGATGAAATCTCTTAGTGTCACCCAGGCTGGTCTCAATATTCTGGGTTGAGGTCATCTTCCTGACTCAGCCTCCCCAGAAGGTGCACAGCATTTCACCCAGATTCATCATTTCCTTATGTAAGATTTTTAATCTTTTCTCTCCATTACTCTGGATTTTGTAATGTGAACTTAACCTCTCATGTGTCCTGTGAATCCAATAGGCTCTCCCCTTTTTTTGTGACTGAATACTTTCCAATAAACATCTGCATTCATGGTTGTTTTTGTCTGCTTGATCAGTTCTGTTGTTGATTCTGTTTTTACTTCTTATTTTGTTCAGGGCATCTTATTGAGGAAGGATGGTTTACTGGAAAATTATGGCGTTCCTTGGGGGTGTCCCTTTTCCTTGTTTTCACATTTCTTGTTCTGTGTTGCTATCTATGAATTTAATGGAGCCATCCCTGCTTCTAGACTATATGACCTGGTTTTGGCTAGGAAAAGACCTTGGCAATTCATGTTAGGGCACCAGATATGTAGAGTGTGGCAGTTCTTGCCCTAGGCTGGGGCAACTCTATGGTGATATTTTATTTGTGCTGAAATGTGATTTTATTTGTATGTTAATAAATAAAAGTGCCTGGGGGTCAGAGCTAATAACAAGCCATTTAGCAGAAGTCTGGTGGTAGCACACACCCTTAATCCCGATCACATGACAGGCAGATCTTTGTGTGTTCAAGGATACAGCCAGCAGGAGACACACACCTTTAATCTCAATACCAACCATAGAGACCTGGAGGTCTATATAGACAGGCAGTGACGAGGAGGTCATGTGGTTGGGTTTACAACCAATGAGAAGGCAGAACAGAAAGTCAATAAAAAGACAGACACACAGGAAGTAGGTCTCTTTCTCAGGGGAAGGACGGCAGTGGGTGATAAGAAGGCAGTTTTAGTCTCAGCTCTTAGCTACTGCTCTGACCTCTTGGGCTTTTAACTCTGCATTTGGCTCTGTGTTTCTTATTTAATAAAACGTTTAGAATTGCATCTACACAACTCCATAAATTTCAAGCATATCTGTCGGCTGAGTATTGAAGTGGCAAAGGGTTTTGTGGTCCTCAGCAGCCAAGGGATTAGGGGATGCAGTGGTAACTAGGGTAGCTGGACTCTTTGGTGGTAAAGGATGCTGGGGTCCTTCTGGTTTATTTTTCTTCCAGTGAGGAACCCTTGGATCCCAGTTTTCCCTTCTTGTGCTGGCTAATTTTATATTAACTTGACACAAACTATAACCATCTCAGAGGAGGAAACCTCAACTGAGAAAATGCCTCGACAAGATCAGGCCATAACCCAGCCTGTATGACATTTTCTTAATTAGTTATTGGTGGGGGAGGGATAGCCCATCATAGGTGCTACTATCTCTGGAATGGTGGTCCTGGGTTCTGTAAAAAAAAAAAAAAAAAAAAAAAAACAGGCTGAGCAAGCCACAGGGAGCAAGCCAGTAGGCAACACTCCTCCCTGGCCAATGCATCAGTTCCTACCTCCAGGTTCCTGCCCTGTTTGAGTTTCTGTTCTAGCTTCCTTCAGTGATGGACTACAATATGGAAGTGTAAGCCAAATAAACCCTTTCCTCTCCAACTTCTTATGGGCATGATGTTTCATCAAAGCAATAGGAATCCCAAGACACTCTTGATGAGAGGTAGATGCTTGCCTTTGTGGAAGCAGCGGTTCTGATATGTGACTGTCATGACGCAGGTGTAGATCTGGGATCCAGATCATTAGCACGTGTGACTGATCACAGATCAGAGGCTATGATGGCAGAGGCACTGATGCTTGAGTGACAGTGTGTTGGAGATGGGAGTGGAGCACCTATGGTACTGGAGGCTGGAGGAAAGGACACACACAAATATGGATGATCTCCAGGGTTCGGAGCAGTACCTAACTCACCATGATGACAGAGATAATGTGTGGAGTGCAGGTATGTCCAGAAAAAAAAAAAAAAAACCAAAGATCCTTGCTCAAGATATGGTCTAGCTCCAAAGCAGCTTGGGTCCAGAATTTATGTGATACCATTATATACAATGAAACCATCAAGCCAAGAACTGAATTGAGATAGACAAGCTGTTGTCGTGCATGGTGGTATTGTGTTCCCCCAAATATTGTGCACACTAATAAACTTATCTGGGGTCACAGAACAGAACAGCCACAATATTAAACATAGAAGATAGGCACTGGTAGCACACGCCTTTAATCCTAGCATTCCAGAGGCAGAGATCTACCTGGATCTCTGTGTGTTCAAGGATACAGCCAAGCATGGTGACTCATGCCTTTAATCCCAGGAAGTGAGACTTTAATCCCAGGGAGTGATGGCAGAAAGCAGACAGGTATATAAGGCGTGAGGACCAGAAACTAGAAGCATTTGGCTGGTTAAGCATTCAGGCTTTCGAGCAGCAGTTCAGCTGAGAGCCTTTGGGATGAGGACACAGAGGCTTCCAGTCTGAGGAAACAGGATCAGCTGAGGAACTGGCGAGGTGAGGTAGCTGTGGCTTGTTCTGCTTCTCTGATCTTCCAGCACTGACCCCAATAACTGGCCTCAGGTTTGATTTTATTAGTAAGACCTTTTGACAATTCGTACTACAGTCATGAGCTAACTGTCAGCTTATCTCAGAAGTCTAAGGCACAGGCACTTTATGAGGCATCTTCAAAGCTGAAAACAAACTTTCCTGTTTAGAGGTAAGGTCTTTGCAGTGTGCTTAGACTAGACAAGGTCATCAAGGTAGAGCCCAGGGTTGGCTATGGTGGCTTCAGAAGAGGAGTCAGGGACGTCAGCAAAGATGCACACCTGGGTTCCCTGTCTTTCTCCTTGAGACTTCTTTACCATCTTGAGATCCTACTAACCAGTAAGCCATCATAAGTTGAGGTCCCTTGACCTTGAACCTCCAGAACTATGAGCTTGGGTTTTTTTTAAAAACTTACTCTGTGGCATTAAGACTCATCTGTGGCATTGTGTGATTAGCAACAGAAATTGATCTAATGCATTCTGGAATCTCTGACTCTCCTTGCCAGGTTTGCTCAGCGTCATGGATTAAACAAGGATGGTTGTTTCTGGCCTCTGTTCAGGGTGTGTCTCCCCACAGTCACCCATCAGTGCTGCATCGTCCTGATTACTATGGATGTCATCTTGATTGCTATAGATAGCATGAGTTCTCCATCTTCCTTCTTTTTCAAATTTGTTTTGGCTATTCCAGATCCGCCAAATCTATAAGCGAATTTTTGAATCAGCATGTCATTTTCAGTGACAATGCCTCTGCTGAATTTTGACTGGGGTTGCTCTGAATACATACATCAATATGGGTAGAACTGACATTGTAACAATCGAATCATTCAATGAACTTATGAACTTCCAATGAACTATGAATTAAGGTCTTTCAATAAACCCCTGAACATGACTTTTTTTTAACTCTTCATGATTCTTCCTTAGTTTCTTTCAGCAGTGTTTCACAGTTCTCAGTGAGAATTGTCTTACGTCCTTTGTCAAATGTGCTCAAAGGATGATGTTATTTTTAGGTGCTCTTACAAACAGAATTTTCAAATCTAGTTTTTCGATATTTAGCACTAACATACAAAACAAAATTGAAGTATTAAGTTTCACATTAATCTTCACAG